TAATAATATTAATAATAATAACAATAATAATAACAATAAAGAAAAAGAAGAAGAAGAAGAAGATGATGAGAACTTTGAGATGAAATATTAATGTAAAGATTAAACAATGATAATAACAAATGTCAAGGTTAGAGGATCCACTAATGGTATGCCAAACAAGTATAGTATAAACTCTTATTATTCAATTGGAAACCACACACAAAGGAGGTTCCAATCTGATTATAAATTGTTAACATGATTACATTAGTCATCTTATTTGATTAATGCTAATACTTGTAAATCTCGTCAAGTATTCATGATTATAACTTATGTTAACAAAAAATCAAGTTCCTTTCATAGCTCCGGTGTCGGTTATACCATACAGTATGAGCTATGAAAGTACCAAGCATTTGTTGTACCAATTGTTATACAACATAAATCAAGATTAGTCATTTAACAAGGAAAGTATTAAAGAGTGAACAAGATAATAAATATAAAACATGTTAGTATCAAACATTAAAGTCCATATTAAGTTTACATTATACTTATTCTTACACTATTAGTGTAACCTTTTTACCTTGATATAATAAACTTAACTAGATATAATGAAAGAAAGAAAAATAAATAAACAAAATAAGAACATAAATAAAATAAAAGTTAACTAAGTAAATGAAAGGAAATGAAATGCATAACTTGATATTAATGAAGGTAAAGCATAAACATTACAAAAAATACAAAGAGAGAAAACAAGAATATGATCTTGATCTAAAAACCAAGATGCCTAAATGCATGGCAAATGCCTCCTTTTATAGGCCAAAATTAGGAACTATTGATTTGATGACTAATTGATAAGTGGGTAGCCAACTCTTGACTTGGTGACAATCCTTATCTTCTCTTGTCTGCCCAAAACGTCATTGATAACGTCTGGGTGATCAACTTTTGACTTGGTGACAATCCTTATCTTCTCTTGTCTGCCCAAAACGTCATTGATAACGTCAAAATTGGAGCCACTTGAAAACATAAAAGTTGTAGAAAATTGTCTCAACTTTCTTTTATAAAACATTCAGCTCATTTCAACTTTTAGAACTCTAGATATGGCCAAAATACTAAACAATGCTCGGGCTGGAGGAAAAATTCAGGCTTCTTTGTTGTTGCTATAATTTGGACTTGAAAATGGCCTTTTTAGATCTTGAGCTCCATATGAAAGTTGTAGGTCTATGTCTTACCTTTCCATCCATATAAAGTAGATTTAAATCTGAGATCTATAGGTCCTAATATGACCTCATTATCGAACAATGTTCCGGTTTGGATTGCACCGATATCTTTTTTTCTAAGTTTGGTCATCTCTTTCCCCTTGCAATTTAAGTTCTTAAAGTTATCAATCAATCCTTTCATTTATGTGATAGGCCTGTATTTAAAATGAACATTTACGACAAATTAAAGGTATCTTATATTGTTAGATATATTATTATAAAACATGCTTTAGTTAAGGAGTTATTGATACTTCAAGTGCAAAATGATGATATAAAACCATGATAAAAATGCACTTTTAAGTACTAATCAATATCACCTGAAATAACGAACACTGACAAACCTGAAACATACTAAAACAAATATAAGAAACAATAAAACACAATAATAAAACCAAAAGACACAAAAATTCACAAATGAAGGCTCAAATCCAATCTAAGCTTTTTACAGCTTTTCTTAGTTGACCAATTTATGCGACTCATGAAAGGATCAATTACAGGAATGAAATATTGTAGTTAGTCAATCAATTGTTCAGTAGTAGTAGCAGAGATTATGATTTGTCTTGCAGAAGATGTTAGAAATTCATGTTCCACAGCATGATCAAGAAAAGACAACAACTTATCATAATAACCATTAACATTTAACAAACCTATGGGTTTATGGTGAATGTGCAGTTGGGTCTAAGAGGAAATATGAAAGATCTTTTCTAATGTGCCTGAACCATCTGGTAAGGCAATGAAGACATCAATATGGTTAAACATTACATTCATTCGAGTAGACATTGTGGAGACCTGTAGTTCCTCGAGTAGACAATGATGTCCCCTTGTGCCAAAGCTTCGGGGATGACTCCCAAAACTTGACTACCTCCTAAAAATACAGCTATTGACACACCTCCCATTAACCCAAGACTGCCTCCCCCATATACTAAATGAATCTTTCTCTCAGCTAGCACGTGACCAAGATGATTTGCTGATTATAAAAACTCCTTTTCTTTCCCAGGACTAGATCCACCGAAAACACAAATATTTCTTATTTGATGACTTGAGGAACTTGCCATTTCTACACACTTCTGTATTTGTTGAATGTATGGGTTGAGTAGAAATGAAAGGAAGGAAAAGAGGGTTTTATAGATGAGAAAGTAGAAAGGCAATCATAACATCTATATGTAGGCCAGCTAGAGTCTCACACACTCTCTCTCTCTTTTTATTTATTTATTTATTTACTTTTGAAAAAAAACATGTGTATGTACAGGTAGTTGTGATTGTGGCTCACATCTTCCCTTGGTTTTACGTCCAAGAACGGCTTAAACGCCCTCTATGGGTCGGGGATAGGCTTCCCATCCAGTTTTCTTAAAAACTGGCAAACAGGGTCTTTTTTAGTCAGATTCCCAAGACTAAGTCGATCATGTTCTTTATGAAATAGTGGCCATAAATCATGAATTGCACGATGCACATCTCCACTAGGATGCGTCTCAAGAGTCAATAGAAGATTATCTAAAGACTCCTTACTCAGGCCATCCTTAATGAATTGTATTTTATCTTCACGGTTTATAGATACCATTCCTAAAGAACGACATTGTGTATTACAAGTCCATCTAGCACATCGATGACAGACTTCTAGTCGTTTTGGTAAATTTTTGTAATCACATTCTGAGGTAGAGCGGGAAAATACTTTTTTAATTTTTCAAGATTAGTGTCTATTTTCAAATGAGAATTGGAAGAGAGATTCAAAGAATTGTACAAATATATACATAGATATCAGTTATTATAGAAAATTGAAAGAACTGACTTTAGTCACAGAGTACCGTTATCCTCCATTTGACCGGGATGAAAGAAACTAGCAAAAAAAACTCAAAAAGAAACACCAAAATAATATGAGAAAAAAAAGTCAATCTTTATATACAGGATCCAGTGATGCACTGATTTAACCATTGGATTCTTTCCTTCCAGCTGTGGTTATCTTTCTTGTGCCTGCAAATGGCAGCAAGAGCAAAGGAAAATTATAACTCGAAGGCCTTTAGTAACCACGGCAAAGAATCGCTGATGAAGTCAATCAATGGCCTACCGATTCTTCACTCCTATATTCACCTCGCTTATTTCTGTTGGTGGGACTCAAGCAACTGATCAATCCAATCAATGGCTTACTGTTTCCATGATATGTATACGATAATTATGTTATTGAAGTCATGTTTAGAAATGCAATAAAATGCTACGTTTATTTGGACAGCTCCTTCTGTTCCTCTTGGCAACACTGTATTACTTTCGCATAGTAACATGTTCCTAGGCAAGTTACTTCAATAAATACATAATTACACATGAATGCTGACAATTAGGGACTAATACACAGGATTACTACTAGCGATCGAGGTGATGGCAGTTGCGTTCGGAGGGTGGTCAGGATTGGAGGGAAGCAGTGACAGGGAAAAAGTCCCAGCTACAATTCCTGTGATGATTTTTGCTTTGGTGAATCATGATCCTCTGTTAGGGTTCACTATTTTCTCCAAAATATGTTTGATCTCCCTATTAGCAAGCTCTACTTGT